GAGTTTGGTTGTCATTGGAGGCCTCACAGGTCACCACCTTGTTCCTCCACTGCTCCGGGTGGATGCTCAGCGTGCTGCTCCAGCTGTAAAGGCCGTCTGCGTGCAGAACGGCGGTGCTGTGGCTCTCCCCCGAGCTCAAGCTGCTCCCATCAACCTTCCAGCTCAGCCTCCAGTCTGAGGGGAAGCCCTTATAGGCCACGCACATGAGTGTGACCTTCTCCTGCTGCAGGTCCACACTGGAGGGAGGCAGAACTGTCACACTGGGCTGGGTGAGACCTACACACACATACACACACACACACACACACACACACAGATGAGACAGGAATGGACAGCTGTCATTCACTCAGGCTTCGTTTCAGCTCTCTGTGTGTGTTTCACTTCCCTTTATATCTTACAGAGCAGAGCTGAGTTCAGTGGAGCATCACAAACATTTCACATTCAATTCAAATAATTTTACATGTTAGATCCATAATGATTTATATTATTGTTATTACTAGACACTAAAATTATATACTGTATATGAATTATACTGAATATTCAATAATCAGAAACATCAACAGCATTTAATGAACTCGCAGCCTTCACTGTTAATTCAACAACAACAAAAAAAGTCACAGTAATATGTACGAACAATGATGTATATTTTGTTTGTAGATTTAAATTATAATTAGCTACTAGCACTGTAGTCAGACACATTTTGTCAAACTTCTAAAATAAGAAACATTTGAGAAACAAGGATTTCTGACAAATAAAAAGATAAAAACATTTGAGTAGAACTGATTTGGAGAAAAAAACATAAACTATATTCTTACATTCTGAACACACTCCATTTCAGTCATTAATCTGAACACACTCCATTTCAGTCATTAGTAAACAGGTTACTTACGGCCCACAGACAGTTTGGTTCCTTCACCAAAAGGACAGCACAGTGATACAAACAGGTTTAGTGGCTGTACAAAAACCCTGCTGCTGTAAACTCACTGCTCTCTCCATCCATTTAAACTTCTTATTACAAAACAGCTAAAAAACACCAACTTCTGTTCACATCTGCTGATTAATACACTAACTCTCTGACTGATTTTATTATGTTTTGGTGTTTTTTTTTCTTATTAAACAGCAAGATTGTCAATCTAAACTGAGGATGCAACTGGTGTGTAAGACATACAAATAAATTACACAAACTATAAGCTTAAAATGCACAAAATGTAGATGTGCAGTTGCACAGGTTTTTACCCATAATGCCTCACTGAGTAAAAATCCTGATGCATTAATGAGAAATTTGCAATATATGACTGAATGTGTTGAGATAAAGAGATCATAATTCCTCCACTCCTTCTGTAGACTGATAGAAAGTTATGATATGATATTTAAGTCCTACAATAATCTAAACATTAATTTACAGTCAAAAATATTAGTGTGTATTTACTCACTGCCAACACTGATGCTGCTTCTTCCACCATAAATCCACTACAGTGAGAAACTCATTAACATTCAGTACAAACACCATCCAAAGAAAGTTTAAGCTTCTCTCTCTAATTCACTTATTTATGCATCTTAGACCTAAAAGTATTTTCCAGAAAATCTCCATCTGACCCCAGAAGCAAAATTCACACAATATCTCTGTAGTAGTGTGAGAATTACAGTAAGATTGGGGGAATGTGGTAAAGGTGTTTCCATACTTAGAGGACACTTTGCATTGGCAGCACATGCTTCAGTGCTCTGGGAGTGTTTATAGCGCTGTGACTTTAACACTTCATGACTGAGAGCTGCTGCTACAGCAACTTCACCCACAGCTACCATG